CCCACCCCCCACGCTCAACGCCAGCACACAACTCTGGGTCACTACCACCGTCCGCACCACATCCCCCACTGCTGTCCCCAGCACCAGTGTCCTCACCACCACTGTCCCCACTGTTCCCACCACCGTCACCACTGTCCTCACCAGTGCCCCCACCACTGTCGCACTGTCCCCCACCACTGTCGCACTGTCCCCACTGTCCCCACCACTGTTCCCACCACGGTTCCACTCTCCCCACTTTCTCCACGGCCCCACCATTGTCCCACTGTCCCACTGTCCCCGCCGCTGTCCCACTGAGCTGTCCAACTGTTCCCACCACTGTCCTCACTGTCCCCACCACTGTCCCCACTGTACCTCTGTTCCATTATCCCCCCGCCGTCCTCGCCACCGCCCTCACCACTGTCCCCACCACCACTGCACCCTCCAATGTCCCACTGTTTCCACCACATTCCCACTGTCCCCACACCACTGTCCCCACCACCACCGTCCCCACCACTGCCCCACTGTTCCCACCATTGTCCCCGCTGTCCCGCCAGTGCCCCCACCAGCGTCTCACTGTCCCCACTCTCCCCACCATTGTCCCACCACGGTCTCACTCTCCCCACTTTCCCCACGGTCCCCACCACTGTCCCACTGTCCCCACTGTACCCACCACTGTCCCACTGTTTCCGCCATTGTCCCATTGTGCTGTCCCACCGTCCCCACAGTCCCCATCACTGTCCCACTGTCCCCACTGTCCCCACCACTTTCCCCACCGTACTACTGCCCCACCACTGTCCTCACCACCGCCTTCACCACTGTCCCCACCATTACCGTCCCCACCACTGTCCAGCTGTCCCCACCACTGTCCCGCTGTCCCGTCACCACTGTCCCCACCACCACCGTCGCCACCACTGTCCGCACCACTGTCCCACTGTCCCCGCACCACTGTCCCCACCACCACCGTTCCCACCACTGTCCCAGCATCCCCACCATTGACCAACTGTCCCGAGGAGCGGGAATCATTTGCCGGCGGCAAGGAGGGGGGGTTCGAACAAGTAATGACCCCCCCTGGTTTTCGAGGGGGGGGGTTCGAACAGGTAGTGACCCCCCCCGGTTTTCGAGGGGGGGTGGTTCGAACCGGTAGTGACCCCCCCCCTTTTCATGATGGACTGGGGGTGGGGGAGGGGTTCGAACCGGTAGTGCCCCCCCCGGTTTTCGAAAAAGGGGGGGGGGCGGGTTGGGAACCCCCAGTGACCCCCCCCCGGTTTTCTGCCAGCAGCGGTAGAACACGCTCTTTCCCAATCTTAAATCGATTGTGAGATGCACTCTCAAATCGATAGTGGGATCGATAGTGAGGTTAATAGCGAGATCGATCGAGATAAATAGTGAGACCGATCATGAGATCGATAGTGAGATCGGTCGCGAGGTCGATAGCAAGGTCGATAGTGAGACCGATAGTGAGACCAATAGTCAGATCGATGGTGAGATTGATCGTGAGATCGATATTGGGATCGATAGTGAGATCGTTAGTGGGATCAACTGTGAAATCGGTAGTGACATCGACTGATATCGATATTGAGATCGATTGTGAGCTCGATTGTGATCGATAGTGAGATCGATAGTAATGTCGATAGTGATATTTTTCGTAAGCGGGATATTGACATTCACTGTGATATCAAGAATGAGATCGATCGTGAGATCGATAGTGAGACCGATCGAGTGAGATCGATAGTGAGGTCGATACTTGGATCGATAGTGAGATCGATCGTGAGACCAATTGGATGCGACGTTGGTTCCTCCACCCCTCCCCGAACCTCCTTGTCACCCGAGTGGTTGTCTTATAGGCGCGCTATTGCGCTGTAAAGTCGATGCACCCCTGCGGAGTGCTAGTATTCCTGCCCTGCTTACCGAGCTCGTCTCTCGCCTCCAGAAGCGTGGGGGTCGCAACGCTCATCTTACATCCAGCACCTGGCATATCCAAATTTCTTGGAGCCCGCGCTGATTTTGGCGAGAGCCTGGGCCGGTGCTGTTTTGCGCATTTTTTCTGGGTTCGGCCAGGAGCTGCCTCGTCGCCTCGCTGGGCTTGGCGCGTTGGACCTGAGGTCCCGTCCTTTTTTGTGCCCTCTCGGTTGACTGGCGAGATCCTTGGCCATGCAACCTTCTCCTCCTCCTCATCCTCCTCCTACTCCTCCTCCCTCCTCCCTCCTCCCTCCTCCCTCCTCCCTCCTCCTCCTCCTTCCCTCCTCCTCCTCCTCCTCCTCCTCCTCCTCCTCCTCCTCCTCCTCCTCCTACTTTCTCCTCTCTTCCTCCTCCTCCTCCTCGTCTCCTCCCCCTCCTCCTCCTCCTCCTCCTCCTCCTCCTCCTCCTCCTCCTCCTCCTCCTCCTCCCTCCTCCTGCTCTGCCGTGTGTTTTCCCTCTTGCAGTGTGCTTTGGCTTGGGTCTTGCCCTCGTGCGGCCTTGGGGCCCTGAGGAACTCTCGTCGTCCGCCGACTCCATCCTGCTCTGTCTCGCCACCTGCCCGAGCACAGGCAGGCGTCGACTGTCTTGCCTGTCGCTCGGCCGACCGAACGACCGAGGAGAAAAACAAAAGGTGCCCTCCTCTCTATCCAGATGCATCCAACATGCCTCGCAGGAGGAGCCGGAGAGGAGGGGGGCGGGAGAGGAATGACGGAGGAGTACGGGGAGGGAGAAAGGAAGGGAGGGATGGGGAGGAGGAGGAGGAGGAGGAGGAGGAGGAGGAGGAGAACAGGAGGAGGAGGAGGAGGAGGAGGAGGAGGAGGAGGAGGAGGAGGAGGAGGGAGGAGGAGGAGGGAGGATGACCCCAACGGATTCTGGCAATGCAGCCAGCCGTCACGCGGCGCGCCGAGGCGCCGGACCCTTCAGGGCAGCAAGAGGGCCCAGACCTCCGACGACTCGGAGCCAGCGAGACATCTCCGACGCCACTTCTTCGGATTCGCCAGAGGTCCGAGGGAGGAGGGAGGAGGTGCGGGAGGAGGGAGGAGGAGGAGGAGGAGGAGGAGGAGGAGGAGGAGGAGGAGGAGGAGGAGGACGAGGAGGAGGAGGAGGACGAGGAGAGGAGGACGAGGAGGAGGATGAGGTGTGGGAGGAGGGGGGAGGGGAGAGGGAGGAGGTGCGAGAGGAGCACTGCCCCGCTCGCGGGAAGGGCCTCCTGCGCCAGCGAGGCGAGGAGGGCCTGGAGGCCAGCCGCACCCAGCTCGCTGCCGCTCAGGACCAGCCGCCGCACAGAGGGCAGCGCGCCCTGTCGTCAACGCCGCCGTCTTGGTCATCGTGGACGTCGTCGTGATCGTCGTGGTCGTCAACGTCGTCGTCGTCGTCGTCGTCGTCGTCGTCGTCGTCGTCGAGGACCTGAAGTTTCAGGCGTTCGGGGGCATGCCGGGGGCCTCCACGGCTGGGTCCGCCTCGCGATCCCGGTCAGAACGCGCCCCGTGACGGGCCCCTGGGTGTCGCCGCTGTAGCTGCCGCCGCGCCAACGGCAATCTCTGGCTTATAATCTTATCGAATGGTTTACCACTGTTCGATTGAAGCGAGATGGGTCTCCATCCAGCCATCGAATGAGCGTCTTTACCAACCTTTGGGAGCTATTTAATAGTTCTTTGATTATATACAAGTGGCACGTGTGTGCCCAGGCTCATACAACAAGCTGAAGGGGCGTTTGAAGCAGGAGTGACATGCAACAGCGAAGTCGCACTCGAGCGCAAGTGGGGTTGCCACACCTTGCGATGTGTGTACCAGGGCCCCCCAGGAAGCCTCAGGAGGCCCGACTTGGATACCAGAAGAGGCTCCAGGAGGCCCCAGGATTGTGAGTGTTGTGTGTGTGTGTGTGATGTGTGCTTTGTGTGGTGCGTGCTTTTTGTGTGTTGTCGGTGTTGTGTGTGTGTATGTTATGTTTGTCTAGCGTGTGATGTGTTGGGCGTGATTTGTGTCTCTGTGTGTGCATGTAGTTCTGAAGCCCCAGGAGGCCCCAGGAGGCCCCAGGCCTCAGCAGGCCCAGGAGAACTCCAGGAGGCTCCGAGGCGGGGTCTGGGGTACCAGAAGGTCCAGAAAGCCCCAGGAGGCCCCAGGAGGTTCCAGGAGGCCCCCAGGAGGCTCCGAGGAGGGGTCTGGGGCTCGATTTTGGGAGGATTTTCCATGCGAAACCGCCATTCTCTGAGAATCGGGGTCAAACTTATTGAAATTACCATGTGTTTTTGAAGGTTTTATGTTAAAATGTTGAAATTCCCATGTGTTTTTGGACCCTGACGTCACGATCTGCGTGAGGGGTGCCACCGATTTTCAGAATTTCGAGGATGTCCCGAGCGAAATTGCCAGACAAATCGCGGACGCGTGCGCATTAATCGCCTCTGAGCTCTACTCCCTCGGAGAGGTGCGTATGAGAATATATATACATATATATATATATATACCTATACGACCACCCTTCGGGTGATGAGGAGGTTCGGGGGGGGAGGAACCAACGTCTCACTCGATCGGTCTCACTATCGATCTCACTATCGATCTCACTATCGGTCTCGCTCGATCGATCTCACTCGATCGACCTCACAATCGATCTCACTCGATCTATTTCATTCGATCGATCTCACAATCGATCTGACGATCGAACTAACAATCGATCTCAATATCGATCCCACTATAAATCTCCCAATCGATCTCAAAATCAACGTCATCATCATCATCAACATCATCGTCATCAACGTCATCATCATCATCATCATCATCATCATCATCATCATCATCATCATCATCATCATCATCGGGACACCATCATCATCACCTCATCACCATCATCATCAACATCCTGATCATCATCACCATCATCATAATCATCGGGACACCATCATCGTCACCATCATCATCATCAACATCATCATCATCGGGACACCATCATCATCAGCATCGGAACACCACCATCATCAACATCATCATCATCTCATCATCATGGACAACATCATCAACATAAGCACCATCGGGACCCCATCATCATCAGCAACATCATCATCATCATCATCATCATCATCAACATCATCATCACCGGGACACCATCATCATCGTCACCAGCATCATCATCAACATCATCATCACCGAGACACCATCATCATCAACATCAGCATCATCATCATCGTTGGGACACCATCATCAAAATCATCACCATCACCTCATCATCATCCTCATCATCAACATCATCATCGCGACACCACCATCGTCACCATCATCATCATCAACATCATCATCATCATCATCATCATCATCATCATCATCATCATCATCATCGGGACACCATCATCATCACCATCATCACCATCATCAACAGCATCATCACCATCAACCTCATCATCACCATCATCATCGGGACACCATCATCATCATTATTATCTTTACCATCATCATCAGCATCATCATCATCTCATCATCATCAGGATCATCAACATCATCATCACCATCATCGGGGCACAATTTTCATCATCATCATCAGTAACATCACCATCATCAACATCATCATCCTCGGGACACCATCATCATCACTACCATCACCATCATCATCACCATCATCATCATCATCATCGTCGGGACACCATCGTTATCACCACCATCACCATCACCATCATCACCAACATCATCGACATCATCATCATCATCATCATCATCATCATCATCATCATCATCATCATCATCATCATCATCATCATCATCATCATCATCATCATCATCATCATCATCATCGGGACACCGACGGGACACCAGCGGGACATCGGCGGGAAACCGCGCGGCACCGCACGCCGGAAGGGAGTCATTTGGTCTGGCCGCGCCTCAGCCGGAGGCGGGACACCGGCAGGACACCGCGCGGCACCAGTTGCCGGAAGGGAGTCATTTGGTCCGGCCGCGCCTCAGCCGGAGGAGACTTTCTTCTCGCCCGCCCACGCAGCTTCGCCTCGCCCGCAAGCACGGCACGCACGAACACGAAACCGAAACCGATTTCCCCGTAGGGGGGCTCTCCGCTCCACTTCGATCTCACCCCCTCACCTCCGACGACCACCCTTCGGGTGATAAGGAGGCTATGGGGGGGGGAGAGGGGTGGGGAACCAACATCTGACTCAATCGATCTCACTATCGATCTCACTCAACGGGACACCACGGGGGACCACGGGACACTTGTCGATCTCACAATCGATCTCACTATCGATCTCACTCAACGGGACACCACGGGACACCACGGGCCACGACGGGACACCACGGGAAACCGCGAGACACCACATCGATCTCACTATTGGTCTCACTATCGATCTCACTCAACGGGACACCATAGGACACCACGGGACACCACGGGACACCTCGGGACACCACATCGATCTCAGTCTCGATCTCACTATCGATCTCACCATCGATCTCACTCATCGGGACACCACGGGACACCACGGGCCACGACGGGAAACCTCGGGGCACCACATCGATCTCAGTCTCGATCTCACTATCAATCTCACCATCGATCACACTCAACGGGGCACCACGTTACACCACGGGACACCACGGGACACCTGTCGATCTCGTTGTCGATCTCACTATCGGTCTCACTGTTTGGGACACCACGGGACACCTCGGGGCACCACATCGATCTCAATATCGATCTCAGTATCGATTTCACTATCGATCTCACTCAAAAGGACACCACGGGCCACGATGGGACACCACGGGACACCAGGGACACCGCGAGCCACCGCCGGACGGACAGACGGACGGGGGAGAATCATTTGTCTTGACTGCGCCCTAGCAACGGCGGACACCACGGGACACCACGGGACACCGCGGGACACCGCTAGGGCCACCGCCGGACGGACGGACGGACGGGAGAGAATCATTTGTCTTGACTTCGTCCTAGCAACGGCGGGTTCTTTCCTCTCCCGCACCCACGCAGCTTCGCCTCGCACGACACGAACGCAACGAAGCGATTTCCCAGTTGGGGGTCTCCGTTCCACTGCGACCTCGCCCCCCCAACCTCCGACTGAGGCGCGGCAGGAGGTCTGTCGGCGGCCTGGCCCCAGCTCTGTGGCTCTCCGGGGGGCGCCGCCCCCCAGGGACGACACGCGGGACAACCGCACGGGGCAACCGCGGGACAACCGCACGGGACAGCCGCACGGGACAACCCCCGACGGGGCAACCGCACGGGGCAACCGTGGGACCGCCGCGGGACATCCGCGGGACAACCGCACGGGGAGGAGGAGGAGGAGGTGGAGGAGGAGGAGGAGGAGGAGGAGGAGGAGGAGGACAGCCGCGGGGCAACCTCGGGCACGCCCCGGAAGGTGGGGCGCCGGCTCCTTGCGGCGTGACCTGGTCCCGCTATAGCTAGCTCGAGCTCGCGCGCCGCTTCGACTCGCCCGCGCGCGCGGCCCGAAGCGGAACCAAGACCGCTTTTCTCGGCTGGGCCACTATAGGAGGCCACGTGCGAACCCCACTCCACCTCCCCCCTTAGAGATCGTGGGGAGGTGGGGTAGGGTTCTTCGCATGTGGCCACCCAGCAACTCCGTGCCACTCCGGCGCCTCTTCACGCCAAGTCTGGCTTCAACGCCCTTCCTCGTGCCCCGACCTGCGGCAGTCGCCCGAACAGGGCGGCGCAGGCCGCCTCCGACAGCGGGGTGCCGTGGAGCTCCAGGGCCCGCAGCCGGGCGCACAGCGCCAGGCAGCCGCCGAGCCCGGCCGCCTCGCGCGCCGTGGGCGGCCGCATGCCCTCGAGGTCCAGGGCCTCGGCGACGCTCAACTGGCTCTCGCACGTCCTCCGGAACAGCCCCTTCACCACGTGCCGGTCGGTGGCGACCGAGAACGCCCGGGCCTCGATGAGCTCGTCGAACTCGTCGGGGCCGACGGGCCAGCGGCGCTCCGCTGCACGCACGTCGGCAGCGCCGGCCAGCTCCACCACGGCCTTCCAGCCGGCCTCGTGCCTGCGCGTCCGCTTGACCAGCTCGGCGGAGCACCTCTCGAAGGTCGTCCAGCCCGACGCCTCGTGGCCGTTCTCGCGCGTGCATCGGCGCTCCTTGGGATGCTGCGTGAGCAAGAAGACGGTCGTCCCTGCGTGGGCATACCACAAATCCATGGTCTCGCGAAGCGCGTAGTCGTAGGCTTCCTTCTCCTCGGGCGTGCGGGAGGCTCCTCCCGCACGCTGTCCCATGCCCTGGGGCTCCTCGGGTGCAGGCTCTACCGCCGGCTCCACGGGGCGCTCCTGCAGGAGGGAGCCCCAGTCCCAGAAGACGCCCACCTCGGAGAAGCCGCCGAAGCTGCCGCACGCTCGCCTGTACCTGCTCGCCTGCCGGGCCAGCGCGCGCGTCGCCAGGCCGAGCTGGACCCCCTCGGGGTCTGGGTGCTGCGGCGTGTCCCAGCACAGGGAGAACGCGACGACGGGCAGCGCTCCGTCCACGGCGCCGCCGTAGCCGCTGGCCTCCCACACCCGCTCGAGCTCCTCGGCGCCGACGAAGGCCTCCTCCGGCAGCGCCTGGCGGCAGGGCAGCGCCGCGGGCTGCCCGGGCCGGGAGAGCAGCCACGACAGGCGCAGCAGCCGGACCGAGAGGTGCCCAGCAACTCTGTGGCCGAGCGCCTGGAAGAGCGCCGCGGCGCCCGCGCCCGCAGGGCCCACGCCCGTGGCGCCGCTGGGGCCACGTGGCCGCGGCTCCTCCAGCCTCGCGTGCATCGCCTGCTCGAGCTGCTGCACCCTGCCGCTCTTCGCCAGGAGCTCGGCCTCCAGGCTCTCGATCTGCCGGTCGCAGTGCGTCCACCGCGCCGCGACCGCGGGCGGCCCGCCCGCTCGCGACGGCGCCACCGTCGGCGTGGGCGGCGGCGACGGGTGGCCACGCGGCGATGCACGGGCAGGTCTCCCGGGCAGTGCACGGGCGGGCGGAGGTGCGGGCGCGGGCTTCTTCGTCGGCGGCGCCCACGACTTCTGGCCAGGGCGCTGCCAGGCGCACAGCCGGCCTCGTGCTAGGTCGGGCATGTCATCCTGCAGGGGGCTGTTTGAACGAAAAATGAACCATAATCCAAACATGCTCAATCATAGCAAAAACATGCCCCAAAAATCGTCCCCAGACGATTTTCTGTCTATTCTTGAATATTCCTCCTGTAGAGGGACACGCCCGACTTCAGCCTCGTGGGTTGACATCGCCGAGGGCCGCGCTGCCCTGCCGAGCCGCCGCCCGCAGCACGTGCGTGGCGGGCGCCCGCGGCGACTGGCCAGCAGCCGCGCCGGCCCGCGCACCTCTTGCGAGGCCCGTGGGTGCCACGCATGCCTCCGCCCTTCCTCTGCACGTCGGAGTCGCCTTCGGCATCGCTGCGGCCCTGCTTGTCCTTCACGGGCGCCAGAAAAGCCCGCGTCTTTTTATTCGGCGTTCCGGCACTGGGCGGAAGGGGGAGGGGAAGGGGGGCAGGGGGGGGGGGGTCTGGCTCCGGACCCGTGCTTGGTGCAACTGTGTGGAGCCGTGCGTCTTATGGGGTATGGGGCTCCACCTGCTCGAAGCAGGCGCCCAAAAAACAGCCGAGGTCCACTCCACGGGGGGGGGGGCGGAGGGCCCGCGCCGATCGGCAGAACAACGAATAAGACAACTGCCACAAGTGTCCGGCGCCCTCTCCCTCTGCCCCATCTGGTCTTCCCTCCACTTCCCCTCTGGCCCACCCCCCCGCACCAGTGGGGGTGGATATCACCAGGCCTTTTTGAAATCGTAAGTGGTTCAGCGGGTGTCTTCGTCCAACCCTCCTTCTCTTTCGGGGAAGGGCGTACCCCTCCCCCTGCCCCCTCCCACTGCATCCCCTCCCCCTGCCCCCTCCCACTGCATCTGGATGGGGCGTTTCGCGATCGGTATCACCTCCAAGATGGCCCCAAGATGGCCCCCGAATCTCCCGAGGGTGCCCCAAGAGGGCCCCAGGAGGAGCCCAGGAGGCCCCAGGCGCCCCAAGATGCCCCCAAGATGCTCCGAAGATGCTCCCAAGATGCTCCTAAGAGACGCCCAAGATGCCCCAAGAGGCCCCCCCGAGGCACCCAAGGCGCTTCGAGAGGCTCCCCAGGCCGCCAAGAGGCTCCCAAGACGCTGCAACAGGACTACAAGAAGCTCTCGAAAGATATCCGAAGAGACTCCGAGAAACATCCAAAGGCCGATGGCCTTCCTGTTCGCCCTCCTCCTCCTCCTCCTCTTCATCATCCGCCCAATCCACCTCCTCCCTCCTCCCGTCTCCATCCTCCCTGCTCCTCCCCCACCTCCTCCTCCTCCTCCTCCTCCTCCTCCTCCTCCTCCTCCTCCTCCTCCTCCTCCTCCTCCTCCTCCTCCTCCTCCTCCTCCTCCTCCTCCTCCTCCTCCTCCTCCTCCTCCTCCTCCTCTGGTTCCTCCTATATCCTCCCCTTCTTGGGGTATGACGGCTTGCCAGCCTGTATCCCAATGCTCGCTCCCCTACATGCCTGATCAGGGCAACTCGTCTGGGCATCGTTTCTGGACGGGGTGGTGGGGTTACGCGAAGCGTCCAGGACATCACGATCCCTGTGGCTTGAGCTGCCCAAACTCCTGTCTTTAATGCTGGCCGTCACCTCCTCTCTCGTCCGCTCGATCGGATCTGCCTTCGGCACCGACCTCGCCCTGTCCTTTGGGAAAGGAGGACCGGGAGGGGCGAGGGCAGCTCAGCTTCAGAGAGGGGGGAGGGGGAGGGGGAGGAAACCAGCAGCAGTGGCAGCGAAGAGCGGGACGGAGGTCCAATGGTCGAGAACCAAGCGGTTGCAAGAGAGGAGATGCAAGAGCGCAACGGCAGAGCCGAGTCGCAAAGGCGCTGGCTGGGAGGAGTGGAGGGAGGCGGCCGAGCTGGAGCGCAACTGAGGCGCACCAGATCTCGCGCCTGAGCTCGCACGGCAAGTGCGGTGAGGCTGGCCTCTCGTGCTGGTTGTAGAGGGGGCGACACCGAACTCGCTGGGCTGCTCTCGCAGCTCGAAGAACATGTCTGGCTTTGGCTTGGTCAGAGCGGTCAGGTCAGTTCTGGTCTGGTCTGGTTGGTTGGGCCTGGTTTGGGTGGTCTGGTTGATCCGACACTCGCTGGGCTGCTGATGCTGTCCATGGCGTTTGTGCCGTTTGGGCAGCCCCGACGGCAGCGCCTCTCCTCATAATGCACGTGCATCCTCATGAAGGTGCACCACCCGCCGGCCAGCGCACGTACCGCCGCCCAGTGTGACTCAGGAGCCACTCGGACCAGATGCGTCCGAACGGCACTCCACTGCTGGTGAAGATCTCGTGAAACTACCGCTGCTCCGACCCATGCCGCAATGCGCTTCCCGGTGGTGATGTGGAAGGCGTCGGGGAACCACAAGTACCTGCGAGGACCTGCTAAACTCTCTCTGAGAGAGGGTGAGGCCTCTTGTCGGTGGCTACGGCATCTCACTCAGCCACCGCCCCAGCTCGCTGCAGTTCACGGTGGGGCCTAGGGGCACGGGCAGGCTCTCCGCGACACACGTCGAAGCACTAGACGACCGCGACGAAGGCCTGCCAGCTCGAGGGCGAGCACCGCCCACCGAGCTCGGTGGCACACATTTTGCTCTCTGAAATCCCTTTGGAATCGGACCCCTGGGTCCAGACCTGTGGGCCCGGAAGCCTGGCCGCACACCGAGATCGGCCCGGGTACCTAGGCCAGGTGACTCGATTCCAGCCGGGGCCCCTTCTCTGAAAGCGCTGATGGGGGAACCCTTGCGATTCTTGGCGTTCCAGGGAACCAGGGAGCCCGGGGCCGGGCATCTGCGCCAAATCCTTGGAACCTCTGCGAGGACCCTTCCATGCAAGCGCTGACTGGGGAGCATCTTCGTACGTTCGAGCCTGCCTGTGAGGGCGCGGGGAAACTCTCACTCCAAGTCCCACCTCCAGCTTTCTTCGACCCTTTCTGGCTTCTCTTGAGAATCTAGGGTGGAGACAATCCAAGCGAAGACCACTAGATGTTTTTGAATCGACTGCTCCTTGAAATTGTGACACGTTCCCCCAAACCGCTTTTCATCCAGTGTAGATGTTTGACGACCTCGGGGCCGAGAAGCGGTCCTTGGACAACGGAGACGACGAAGCACATCGCCATGATCGCTTAACGTCGCCGCAGGTCTTAGGGAGTCTCTGTCCCACGTGGGGTTATCGGTTTCCTCCCTCCCCTCCCACCACAAAAACCCAGCCAAGGTAAAGAGGAAGTGCTCCTTCCGGCAGGGGCGATGAATGGAGAGGGAGGGTGCGAGAATCAGCGGACGAACAAAAACGAAACAACGTGTGATTTTCTTCGTGGAGAAAGCCAGTCATAGGGTGGCTGGGCAACTTATAACCCCCAGGGCCTATGGAGGTGCGAAATTGCCAGTCTTCTTGGGACAGGCGTCCCCCGCGGCGGAAAACTTCCAGACATGCAAGTGTTCGTCTGCTGAAAAAAAACCCGAAGGGAGGCGGAAGCGGGATCCTTGTCGGCTGCACTGTGCGCGGCCTCCTCGGCCGAGCCTCCACCCTGCGAGTTCAACTCGGACAGCGGCTCCACCCGCGAGCTGGCCAGGAGCCTCACCGAGCTCCTCTTCGGAGGCATCGCCTCCCACTCTTGCTGGTCAGCCTGCTTGGCAGCGTCTCTTCCGCTGTCGCGGTCTAGCGCCGCCGGCACTGCCTCGAGGCGACCATCGTCAAGGGATACCTCGAAGGCGTCCTGCCGACGGAGTCTCAAAGTGGCGACCTCAGCCTCCGGCATGGTCGGTCTGCCGTCGCGCGGGTTCACAGCAGTTGCCGCGTCGAGGCGACCATCAACAAGGGCTGCCTTCAAGAGTTCCTGCACACATGCCCTGAAAGTCGCGCCCTCTCCCGCATGCGCTGGCTGCGCTAGTGCCTGTGCGGAAGGGATGCTTCGCTGTCGCTGGCCCGCGGTGTCGGTGGTAGCGCTGCTCTTGAGGCAGTGCCAGTGCCATGAGACCTTCCTTTGCGGCAGTCCCGCCCACTCTTGCTGGCCACCATCCCCGCCGCCGTGTGCGGCCACAGCCAACGCTTCCTCGAAGCGACTATCGCCAAGAGCTGCCTCGACACCGTCCTGCACTCGATGTCTCAGGGCCGCGACCTCGGCATCTGTCCTGGCCGGTGCGTCGTCGCGCGCGACTACCCCGGCCTCAGGCCTGGTGGATGCGTCGCCACGTCGTGTCGAAGAAAACGCCGCCTCGAAATGACCTTTGCGAAGGGCTGCTTCGAAACCGTCCCGAAAAACACGTCTGACGTCCACAACATCGGTCGCTGGTCGGACCGGTGTGTCGTCGTGCGCGGCAGGAGTCAAGGTTGCCTCAAGGCGACCATCGCCCATGGCCTTCTCGAGGAGGTCCCGCACACATGCTCTGAGGGCCAGGGGCTCGGCCACAGCCAACGCTTCTTCGAAGCGACCATCGTTAAGAGCTGCCTCGACACCATTCTGCGCACGGCGCCTGAAGACAACGGCCCTGGCCTCTGGCCTGGCTGGTCTGTCGTCGCGCGCGGCCCCAGCGAGCGCTGCCTCGAAACGACCATCGCCAAGGGCTGCCTCGAAGGCGTCCCGCACAAGGCCTCTGTCGGCCGCGAGCCCGGCCTCTGGCGTGGCAGGTGCGTCGTCGTGCGCGGCCGCAGCCACCGCTGCCTTGGAGAAGGCTTCCTGTGCGCGACGCCTGAGGGCCACTACTTCGGCCTCTGGCCCAGTTGGCATAGCTTTCCCTTCATCCAGCTCCTGCCCCTTCGCATGGCGCCTCTTGTCGGAAGCCCTCACGCTCTCTCCCATCTGCGCCACGGGTGCTGCGGCCTGCATGCCGAGGGCTCTCATCAATTGTTCCCTCTCGGACACTGCTTCCCGCTTGGGTCCCGGGTACAGAAGCGCTGTAGCCTCTCAGGTTTTGAGATACTGACTGATCAACTGACTTGGGAGTGGACGAAAATGGACAGCCCTGTTCTCGCGAACATCTCGCGACACGGCGTCAACATACTCGCGTGACCCCGTACACGCACCACACACACAGAGACACACACAGACACACACACACACACACAAACACAGACACGCACACACACACACACAGCACACTCAGACACATACACACACACGCCCACACACAGACACACACACACAAACATAAACGCACACACACGGTCAACAAACATTACACACTGGCAGCAGAAGACGCGCCACTACATGCATATGGATACGTATATGTATACGTGTACGTATACGTATATGTATCGATCAACATGCGGCAAGTAAAGATGTTAATCACAGTTTTGCTAGTGGGATCGATAGGTATGCAGCGAGACCAGTAGATTGGGACATCGATAGATGGAGATCCGGATCTTCGGACGAGAAGATCGCGAATCCGATCCAAAGCCAATCGCAAAGCGCGAACGACGCACACATCCTGGCCAACTTCCTCATCTCCTGGCGGATGGTCTATTCGGCAGGAGCGCATTTGGCTTGAAGTTCAAGCAGGATTCGATGAGTGTTGCAGCCGCTGTGCGATTCCATGGTAGTCGTAGCTCAGGTGGAAGTCTATCATTGTGTTAACCCTGGCCATGTCCTATCCTACATGCGACTATGAGAACACTGTACCACGATTGCAGGTCCAGTAGAACTCTCAGAGACACGCAGCTGTATAACACCCTGCTGATACTCACACTGTCACATGTGTGGGCAACATGGCTGTTTTCACCTGATTCACCCAGACTCTCAGCTCTTAGCTCTAATATTAGGTCAGGCATGTCTCCCTACAGGCGGATTTTGGGCGAAAAACAAAACATGGTCAAAGAACCCCAAACGTGATTGTAAGTGGTAGAAAAATCGTCCCCAAACTGTGTTTTTACTATTTTTGAATATTCCCCTGTATAGGGATACGCCCGACTTAACTCTAGTATGGCTCGTTTGGAGCTCTCCCTGCGCGCACCTGGCGGCCACGACGCCGCCCGCAAGGGGCAGCGCTAGGCCGGCCTGGCGAGGCCGCTGTCCTCCCCCTCCTCCTCGTCGTCGTCGTCGTCGTCGTCCATGTCCTCCCTCTCTTCCTCTTCGTGCTCCTCTTCGTCCTCTGTCCTGGCTCCAGGCGAATGCAGCGAATGGGCGCTAACACACACACACTCACACACACACTCACACACAACACACACACGCGCACGCACACACACGCACACACACGCACGCACGCACGCACCACGCACGCACGCACGCACACACGCACACACACACGTATATATATATATATATATATATATATATATACAAGACTGCATTGGCGATTCGCGCCATGCACCTTGGCCCATAAAGTTTGGCATGCAGGCGGGATGGCAGGAAGGTCAAGCCGGCAATTTAGCGATAACTCCTTGTTGCCTTTACGGCATCGTCGTTACCATACTCTTTTTCGTTATCCTTCCTCAATGCTTCTGTTTCTTTATTCTCACCATACCCTGCGCATTCTCCCCATCCTCCTCAGTTCTTTCTTGCGGAGGCTCCTCCTTGGAGAGCCTCTGGGGGCCTCACAACATTTCTCATGCTTTCTCAAGGCCTTTTGGAGGCCTCCTGGGCGTGTTCGGGGGTCCTCAGGGGGCTTCCTCGGGCCACCCTGCCTCCAACCGCGGTCTCCCTGAATGACTGGGTCACGATTTGGAATGCTTCAGAGCGTGTCTTCGGGTCATCTTGGGCAGCCATGGGGCACTCTTAGGGCCATCTTGGATCCCTGTTGTGCCGTTTTGGGGCTGTCTTGGACTGCCTGGAAGCCTTTTCGGATAGTTGTGGGGCGATTCTGCAGCCTCCCAGGCGGCTTCGGACGCCCAGAAGACCGCCGTCTTGGAGCGTCGGGAAGCCGAAAAGAGGATAACCCCAAAATTCACCAAAAACCAGAGGAAAATCACAGATGTTTGCCTCTTGGGTCCTTCTTGGGAGTGCTCTTGGATGCCTCTTGGGACGTTTCAGAGCGATCTTTGGGGGTATGACGGCTTCGTGGGCGTCGTCGTGGACCGTATTGGGGCTCTCTGGGGTCGTTTCGGGAGCGCGCCGGAACGCCTGGAACCCGTCTGGGGCCGTCTCCGGGTGCTGGGAAGGCTTGGCGAAACGCCCTGCGAGGCCCGGGGGGCCGCTTCGAGGCCCGTCCAGAGGGTCCCAAAACCCCAGATCCCGGGAGTCAAGTTTTTTTTTTGGGGGGGGGACGGGTTTTCCCCCCGCCCGGGCTTATAAAGATATAGGAAGAGGAATATTCTGGATGGTATGGCGCTGATTTTGATCATCAGTATTGCCCCATTAGGTGCTGGCCTCAGCTGCCCCCTTTGTGTTGGTCTTTGCGGTTGCCCATAGTGTCCCGCCCAGACGGTCTTAGATATAACTGCCCCTGTGACTTGTCCAATTGCGCATGCCTTGTAGAGTCTTGCCCACATGGTCTCAGACTCCTTTCCCTGGTGGATCCCGTTTGTCAATTTTTGGGCTCGCGCGCCCGTATCATTGTGTATGCGAACGGGGAGGGTCCGTCTCGCCCGCGATTCACCCAACATTTTCCATACAAAGACATCGTTTGCCCTGGGCTGCATCATCGTATTGTTTATATGTTCGGCTCCCCCCTCGCGCCTGCGCTGGCTGCGCTGCTGCCAGCGCCTCGGCGACCGCCGCCTCGAAGCGGCCATCGCCAAGAGCTGCCTCGAAGGCGTCCTTGAAGAAAAAGAGGAATCAGGATGTGGAGGAGTGGGACGGAGAGGAAGAGAAGAAACAAAAGGAGGGGTATGAGGAGGACAGGACGAGAAGAAATAGGGAGGAGCAGGAAAGAGGTGGATTGATGTATTGTGCCCCGCCGCCGCAAACAGGCGACGATGAGTGCTCTACCTGCGAGCTTTAAATTTCACCACCACGAACCGCAGCATTGTCCCACACGAGCGTGAGGGGAGGGGAATGGGGCGGGACGCAAGGACGGGACGCGACCGAGTCACGGGAGCGCCGGAGGGGAATGGGGGGGGGAGCGGGAGGAGGAGGAGGAGGAGGAGGAGGAGGAGGATGAGGAGGAAGAGGAGGACAAGGAGGAAAAAGAGGAGGCGGCGGCGAAACGGTATCGGGTCGAGCATCGAACTAAATCGGAAACAGCCACGTCTCCAAGGGCCTCGGAGGACGTGCGACCTGCCGTGCACTTTCACAGCGAAAGACGCAAGGCCCCACGTCGGGAGCCCCGGGCATCATCTGCTAGATGGCCGCTAGACTCTGACATTCGAGCGTTGTCTTTGCTCGGGTCTCCTGCCTCGGGGGCTCCCCGGTCTGTGATCATGCTGGGGGATGGTCCCTTCACGGAGTACTGCGACATTGTTGCACCGTTGCCTCGTTCAACATGCGTGCGGATGAATAAGGATACGCGCGCCAAGGGAGAGGCGCGCGCACCACTTCAAGTTTACGCTTCGCATCGCGACCGCGCTCTCACAGTCTACTCGAGCCAGACCTGCGGACACGCACGCGCAGGCTCGCACAGAAGACCAGCAGAGGGGAACGACACGGACGATGCATCTGACCACATCGCCTGGCGGCGCATGACAAGGAATTCATCTCGACACGTTGGTTTCGACATGTTCGTGGTTCCAATCTACTCTGTGAGCAGCGTCTCCGACGACACCTCCAACATTCTCGGTGCAGATTTCGTGTCGGCCTGTTTTTTAATGTATGCTTCGTGTGGGTACAGCCCTCCCCCTTTTGGCCGATTTGTTCTCCAAGATTGCCCCAAGAGGCCCTTCTGAGCCCCCAAATTGCTCAAGGGACCCCCAAGAGGGCCCAGAATACTGGTACAAAATTCCCGAGACGGCTGCAATAAACCCCCGAGAGCCTCCCAAGAAGATCCTCGAATGCTTAAAAGTTGACGCCTGATTGTCGCGCGCCTCTTCGCTTGTAGAACAGAACCATACATCAATCATGGAGGCCTTCGCGGCACCCACATGGAAGGCGGCGCTGGTCATATGATAAGTTACGACAAGGGGATGTGGCAGGCAGGGGTTTCCCCCCCTTCTTGTGCCACTGCATGCGTTTACGTATGACTTCTTGTTCTCCCCATGCTCCTCCTGATCTTCATCCTTACCCTTCTTCTGGTCATCCTTCTCCTCACGTTCTACGTCATCGGCCTCCTCCCCTGGTTCATCATGTTCGTCCCTTCCTTCTTCATCATACTATTGTTCCTTACCTTTTTTTCCGACGGCGCGTTGCCAAATCAAGTCGAGCTCAATGATTCGCGACGGCCTATCTGTTTCGACAAGGCATTTACGGTTGACTCCACCATGTCTGCGACGAGACCTTCGCATCGACCCAACAAAAGGTCCCCCAATTGCTACACGAAGAAGAGGAATGTGAACCACGTACGTCTGTATCACTGCGTGCTCCCATGCTTCCCTGGTCTTGTCTACGATCCTGGGATTCATTTCTGGATGGGCTGATAGGGAATACGTGAGCCGCCTAGAAGTTCCTAATTAACCAGGAGGTGGAGGCCAGAAGAGAAAGGGAATAGAGAGAGAGAGATAGTGAGGACGTAGGACCGAGAAGACAAACAAACAACACTAGAAGTGAAACGTCACATTTTCCTGGAGGGAGGGGACGGAGAGGACAGCACCACGACGAAGCACCTCCGCGATGCAATCCTGAAGCCACTGCCAACGAAATCGAAACAAGGGAGCCGATAAGCAATCCGTGGCCCCATCAGGAGCTTGACCGAAGGTCCCAGCGGCACAGGGCGTCTCGCGTCCCTCCGCCCATGTCGGCATCCCTCTCACACGCTTCGTGGCCGCAGTGGGACAGGGCGCATGGCGCCCACCCCCTCCCTCACCGCTTCTACCCCCAGAGCGTTCTCGGCCGTTCCTCCCAGGCCGTCTACCACCATGCTAGGAATTTGGGTGTTTGCTATCACCACCTGATTATAGCATCGCTTGCCTTTCCATTCCTCCTCTTTCATCGCCTGCGTTTCCAGATCCGAGGCATGATACTGTGTGCTAGCTAGCACTCTCCACATGCACACGTGAAGACGACCCGGAAGCGCATGCTCACGGCAAGCCAGAATCCCACGAAGGGCTGAAGGGGGCAAGAAGTTGAGCGGAGGAGAAGGGAGTGCAACTCACACGCGAACTGCCCGACCCTCGTGTTGCTCCAAGCCCAGGCGCCCACAATGCGTCATCTGGACCCCGAGGCGAGCCGGCCACGCTCGCGGTGGCTGGCTCTCGGGCCGCGCCTGGCCGCATGTCTTGGTCAACAAGCTGCTCAGCGTCCTGCTGCTGTGTGACCAGGAAGGTTCGACTCTGAAAGGCCTCATAAAGAAGGCGCCCTCCTGATGGCAAGTCCTCACCATAACTTGCAAGCGAGCAACAAGAGCTGCGAGGATAAGCCACCACCAGCCCAAACCCGCCAACCTAGAGCAGACACCGAAGCAGGAGGGGGACGAGTGGACGCCATGGCGGTCTGGGGGCTGAGGTGGCGGCAGCAGCAGGGGCGGGCGCGAAGACAGTGGTGATGAGAAGGACGAGCGAGATGGGGAGGGGAAGAATCAGGAGGATGAGGAGTGGAGGGAGAAAGAGGAGCAGGAGGGTGACAGAGGGAGGAGGGTACGCATTTGAGGAGGGCACGACGGGGCCACGCAGCCGCCGCGGAGGAGCGCGACGCTCACGACCGAGCCTTCACGCGGAGGGAGGCTGAGGAGGGATGGGAGGGCGGGGGAAGAGACGTGGACGGACGTGGAGGTGGAGGAGAGGGGCGGGGGCGCGGAGAGAGGAGCAGTGGGCGAGGAGAAGTCCTTCAGGGGCCTCGAGTCATCCACCTGGATGATGAGGCCTCCGGCGGAGTCGCCTCTGGCGGCCGCCCTCCTTCTCCTCAAATTCCATGTCCTCCTCCTCCTTTTCATGATCCTTCCTCTTTCTCCTCCTGCCCGTCCGTCTCCTCTTCCCTCCAACTCCTCCGCCTTCCGCTGGAAAACGGTCCAGGCGCTCTTTGAATAGGTGCCAGCGAAGCCCCCAGTGATTCGCACCGGCGCAATACCCCAGTGCTCCTCTTCCCTCCAGCTTCTCCTCCTCCTCCTCCTCCTTTTCCTCCTCCTCCCCATTCTCATCCTTAAACTCCTCCTCCTCCTCCCCCGCTTCCCTCCCCTATCCTCCTCCCTCCTCTCTCATTTGTCCTCCCTCTAAATGAATATCCTGATCGTCCCACCTCCAGACCAGACGTGTCTAGCGTTCTGCGGCCCAACCTGGAAACGAGAAGTTGTCCTGAGGCCCCCGTTAGCAAGCCCGTGTCTGACTTGGTGTGCCTACAGTCAACCCGTATCATAAGGATGCGAAATAAGGATGCAAAGGCCTTTGAGGCCCATGTTAACGTATTTCGAACGAGGTTGGCCAGCGAAAATCGCCAAGTATGGGCCGAAGGGGCAAGGATGCAAGGGTACCCTTGGGAAGGTTGCCCATCCATACTATGCTGGCTGACTGTACTGTGGGGGGGTAGCTGAGTATCTCGCCTGAGACTTCCTCACCACATACAACCCTGCAGCTTGAAACGCCCAACATCTATACGAATGGACGGCGATTGTGCTCCAAAACGGAGCTGTCGCTCTGGCGCCTCGCACATTCGCACTCAGAGTTCCCCACGTCCTCTCTGATCGAGGACGGTCGGTTTTCAAAGTGTGGCGCTCGCCATGGCGCCGCGCGCGTGCGTCCCAAGTTTCCCAAGCAACTACACGCAAATGGCAATACCTCGTCGTGGCTCTCGCCTTGGCGCCGCGAGCATTGGTCTTAAACACTTCCAGCGATTGGACCGATGGAGGACAACACACGTTCGACGTGGGGTTCTCGCTTGAGGCTTCTTTAAACTCGACGCTCGGGAAGAAAACATGCGCAGCAAATGCACGGAAGGAACACGGCCCCTCTCCAAACTGGGCCTCTCGCTTGACTCCAGTAGGCGGTGTGCTCCCATGTATTTCCTACTTCTTGTAGACAGAAGGTAGAGGGCGACCCCAGAGCAAGCCATGCTCTCGCTCGAACGGCAGGCCGATGATGTGCTTGTCCTCCTGGGGGTCGCTTCTCGTAGTGAGATAGGACGCTGGCTGGGACTTGTGGGATGGGAGGGTGTGTTGCAGAATCGCTGATGCATCTCGGGCTTGCTCTAGCCTTCCTCCTCCTCTTCCTCCTCCTCCTCCTCCTCTTCCTCCTCCTCCTCCTCCTGCTCCTCCTCCTCCTTCTCCTCCTCCTCCCCACTGTTCCCCCCCCCATCCCTCGAGCCCACCAAAGCACCCTGAAGCGCCTGAGAACCTGTAGTATTGAACCGTATCCTTCCTCCTTCTCCCGCGCCTCCTCCTCCCCTCCTTCCCCATCCCTGGTGTCGCCACTTTCCCTCTTCCCGCCCCCTCCTCTTCCGCCTCCTCCTCCTCCTCCTCCTCCTGCTCCTCCTCCTCCTCCTCCTCCTCCACCTCCTCCTACTCATCCTCCTCCCTCATGCTCCTCCTCCTTCCTTCTCGGTGTCGAGTTGCGCCTCATAGGGTGTCGTGGGCCGTGGGATATGGACGCCTTAATGCGCACTCCGAGATCACCTCGCTAATGCTTCTCCTGGCGTCGCAAGCTCTCGAACGCAGCCTAAACCCCTGCAGCTCTTCCTTGCAGTTGCGCAACGAACTGCGCGTGGAAGGCCTTGTCTTTCATCATGTCGGTCGACACCAGGAACGTCGTGCCGCATTACTTGTTGCTCCGCGTTCCCCTCTTTGCCCCGAACTGCAATGCCGCGTGATATCTGAGCGCGATCGAATCCCACTCTCGTAGTGCACTGCTAATGTCTCCAAGTCTGTCCATGGTATTCGCTGCCAGCGGATTGTAGAGTGCCAGTTTCATCGATGCGCATATCGAGAACACTGCAACCGCCATCCACCTGCCATGCCGTCCTGGCCCCCTCTCTGGCCCGTGCGATTGCTGGGCGGTAGTCGCGTGAGAGAGTTTCAATAACATCCTCTCTCCGTCGGTTCTCAAAGTCTCGAGCCTCCAACGCCGACTAGGAGGGGGAGGCAGAAGGAAGTCCAGGGCGCGCAGACAGCCGCGTCGCGACCGCGCGGGAGCCGCCGACGCCCAGAGCAGTCGGGCTCCTCGGGTCAGTCCGCCGCCCGCGGGCCGAGAGGCGCGGCGCGCGGCCTCTGCGCCCCGAGCCGCCTCCGGGCGCACCTGCGGCGCGCGCCCAGCGCGGGGGCGCTCCGCGACGATGCAGGAGGGGGAAACACACAAAGACACAATGATTCGCCGACTCGCAAGAGAACATGGGAAAATGTGGGCACTGGGGGTGGGGGGAGACGAAAACGCAGCAAAATATAAGAAAATACCGGGAATCATGTTACTCGGGTATATTTATCCGCGCGCCCCCGGGCCCCTCAACGATTCCCAGCGCGCCGCGAGGGCCCCTCGAGCACGGCCGAGCGGCCCCCCGAGGAGACGCGACGAGCCAGCCAAAGCGCCAGGACTCGTCGAGATACCCCCGCCGGGCCACAGCGCCGACCCCGGCGGACTGCGACGCGCCGCTGGGCCGCCGGCCGCGACGGCCCGACGGCGGCAGAGCTCGCGAGCGCGACTTCTCCGCGGCCAACGCGTCTCCGCGATCGCGATCGCACCGCGCCGAGGGGCGCGCCGGCTCGCGACCGCGAGTTGCGGCGCCCGCCGCCGCGAGGGCTTGCGCGCTCCACGTGGCCAGCGAGATGTCCCCCGCATACGGGCCCCGCGGCGAAGTGGTCGCGGCGGGGCCCGCCGTCCTCGCGGGGCCTTCCGACGGCGGGTTCGCAGCAGAAGCCAGCGTCGTTCTTGAATTGGGGCCGAGGGCGCGACGGAGTCGAGCAGATGGCAATGCTGAAACCGGCGCGACAGTCCGAGCCCGCCGAGAACGCGCGCGCTCCTGAGCAGTGGATTGGACAGGAAGTGGCGGGGGATGAGGCGTGGGATCGCGCAGGACATCGCGGGCGGCGGTGGTAGCGGCAAGTTGCGAACGAGCCTCCGCCGCGACATTGGCCGCGCAGGTCGCACCGACCAGAATCGGGAGGAATTTCAAGGCGACGACGACGGAGGGGAGAGGGCAAACAGGGCGCGATGCCGCCCAGGAGGCCCCTGGCGGGGGTCCGAGAATCGCATCGCAGGAAGGGGGGGGGGGGGGCATTCGCGCCCCCCCCCCCCGCCGCGATTCCTGAGCTTGCGACTAGACTCGGCGCAGCAGGCAAATCTTTGGGGACCTGTATCCGCGCGAGGTCCGCGCCGATCTGAATCGCGCTGCTGCGCGGCGCCTCCCGGACCGTCTGAACGTCGGCCACGCCCATCAAATATATGTGGTTGGGTGTGCAAAGCCAGAGCCATAGTTTAATCATTTTTGTGTGCGTGTGTGTGTGTGGTTTGTGTGTGTGTGTGTGGTTTGTGTGTGTGTGTTGTGTGTTGTTTATGTTCCATCCGGTGTGTAGTTTCGTGTTTTTTGTGTGTTGCGTGTGTTTTGTTCCTTTTTTTTGGGGGGGTGTTTCTTTTTATGTGGGGGGGATCTGCCGCGGTCGATCGCCCGGCGGGGTTCGACTGCCGCCCCGGCGCGGATCGCCCCTGCCAAAGTCCCCTCAAAAGGGGGAGCTTAGGCGGGGGCTTTTCCCGTAGGCGCCCCCGCTCGCCTGGGAGGGTGCGGGGGGTCCTGGATCGCCCGGGGGGGTTACCGGACGGGCCGACTCGCCCGGCGGGGGTCGGTCCGAGCGGTGGAGTCGCCCGGGGGGGTCTCCGCTGCTCAGTTCCTGCACGAGTCGCCCGGGGTGGTCTCGCGCGGGAACGGCCCTCGCGAATCTTCCGGCGGGGTTTCGCAGGGGCGAGGTAGCCCGGGGGGCGCCTCAGAGGACAGTGCACGGCGCGAAGGATTCACGCGAATCTTTCGCGGGACCCTCACGAATTTTTCGCGGGGGGGCTCGCTCATTTTTCGCGGGGGGCGCAACGGTCTGGACAGTCGCAGGGGGGGGGGGCAAGAAGAGAGGAGGAGAGGTCCGATACCAAAGCCTCGAGGGCCACCTCCGGGGCCGAGCGAATGACGGACAATTGGGGCAGGGGGCGGCTAAAGATATAGAAGGGGGGCGAAGGATAAGAGCCGGAGGGGGGCGCGCGCGGCGCACCGAGGAGCAGGAGCGGAGAGAAAGGGAGCTCTCCGGTTGATCACGCCAAGAAAAAGGCGAGGTTGATGACTAAATTAAGGCTCTGGCTTTGCACGCGCAACTGTGGGCCCGTCCCGGGGAGCGCCGGTGGCCCGTCTTGGCCAGCCGTTGCCGCGATCCCGGTCTGCGCGGTCTCAGCGGCGGCCTCGGCGAGCCGAACCCCGCCGCGCCGGAGAGGTGGGCCGTCAGCTGCTGGAAGACCTCGGCCTCGTCGATGCCGGCGCGGCCCCGGATGTCGACATTGGTCGCGGCCTCGAGAGCGGCCGCTCGACGGGGCCGCGGGCCGCGTCGACGGCGCAAGGCGGCAGGCTGCCGACGGGCAACGCATGGAACGGCGAATTGCCGTCCTCCGTGACGCGACGGCTTGCGTTGAAACTTTGTCGCCGTGTCAGGGTCCTCCTGCAACGTTGTGTCCATCGGGGCGTTCCAGACGTTCGCCGCTGTCTCTGAATGGGGCAGCGCCTTCCCAGAGGTGATGGAGATGAGACCGCCGCGCAACGGCCAGGCCTTGCACGCTGCGCCGGGGCGCGCGAGCTCGACGAGGAGGGCCGCGCGGGTCCGAGAACACCGCGTGGGGGCCGGAGAACGAGTCGGGGGGGAGCGCCGCGCTACGGAGACGAAGCATACGGAGCTCCTGGTCCAGAGTTGGGATGGCCCTGTCGCAGCGGATATCCACGGTGATGCGCGGGACCTCGGCAGCGTGGCCTGGGCCGCAGGTGATTCGGCCCATCGTCGCGCACCGCGTGTCAGAATCCAACGGGAAGCTGAAGACCAACGGGGGTACCATTGCAGGAATGTCCACCACGTACGTGGGCTTGAGGGGGAAGGGGGCCCCTCCCCGTTCAGCATTTCGGGAAGGCCCTTCGGGGGAGACGTGGAGATGGTGGAACTCGCCATGCAGAGCCGTGAGAGACGAGCTCCATGGGGTGCGACATGAAGTCCACCTGCCAGCGGAGGGCTGCCCAGTTTCCCCCCAAAACGGGATGCCACCAGAGATGCCGGGCGGCGTCGACCGAATGGCACCGAGGAGAAGTTTCCAGCGGAGTGATTCTACGGATGCGCTGCGGGAGTGAGCCGCCGCTGAAACGTTTCAGCATGTGTTCCCTGAAGCGGCCCAGCGCTGAAGCGTCGGTGGGGGCCCAGATGACGACTGGCACGGTCTGCAGCAAATCCCCAAAGGAGTCCTCCCCCTTCTCGGCCGCTTCGGCGAGACGCCGAGCTTCAGGGAGGGAGCGAACGCCATCATCGGCTTGCTCCCACAGACGTGGGGGTCCTGTGCCGAGCAGCACAGATCATTGCGTGGCGACGCGCTCCTGCGGCGACAGGGCTGTGTCGAGCACCGCGCAAAGGGCTCGTGACCCAAGCTCCTTGCACAGAGGGAGCCTGCTGGGTTTCAGTTTCAGTCGCTCCCTGCGCCAAACCGGCGAGGGAATTGGCGCAACCCTGGACGGCCAACTCCAGTTTCTCCTAGTAGGGGGGACCAGCTGCTTATCGCTCTGTGACCACCGCGGGCCCTCAGCAGCAGACGAAAGCAGCCGGGCAGTGTGGGCTCGCGACTCGAGCACGCCAGGCGTCGGCTCAGGTCCTTCCAACGGGTTGGGCCCTAAGGCCTGTCAGCAGTCGGACGAGGACGGGTCGTAGGCGAGGCCCCGCGATACCGCCATAAGGTCGCCGAAAGTCGCCAACGTGGGCGGTGCCGAAAGTGGCGGGCTATGCCCTGTCGCCTAAGCGGCGCGGCCACTGTCGATGCAACGCAAACTCTCCTGATCCCAACAGATCACCGAGAATCTCTTGTGGCAACGGCTAGGCCGCTGAGAACAGCTGGGGCACTGCAGCGACTGCTGGAACTGGAGCGGCTTCGGCGGCAGCCGCGGCGGCATCTGGCGCACCTGCACCCTCGTCGAGCGTCGAGGTCGGAATTGCTCAAGCTGAGGTTAGGATTAGGTCAGGCGTGCCCCACTACAGGGGGATTTGGGATGAAAAATTCAACATATAAAAATATTCAGAAATAGCAGCAAATAGTAGCACAAATCGTTTCCAGACCATTTCTGTGAAAGGACATTCCCGCTGTAAAGGGACAGGCCCAACTGAAGGTCAAGGAGTCCTGGGTCATGCCCGTGCTACCGTCGTCGAGGCCCAGGCCCTGGTCGGACGGCGGGGCCGCAGCAGCGCCAAAGCCCGGAGCGGGAAGGCCTGGCGGCAGCGGCGGCCTGGCCGCCGCAACGGCGGCGTCCGCGGCGCCGGGGAAGCGCCTGGCCGCAGTAGGAAGGCACCAACTATACACCAACACCGATCCTGGCCCAGGATCACCCTGGGCCCAGGATCGGTGTATACGCCCTCCTGCCTTGGGCAAGAAGGCATATACACCGATCCTGGGCCCAGGGTGATCCTGGGCCAGGATCGGTGTTGGTGTATAGTTGGTGCCCTCCGACGCAGGGCGGGCAGCGGCCCAGCTCGTCGGCCGAGGCGGGCCGCGCGCCGAACAGCGGGCACACCTCACGAGTGCACGCCATCGCAGACAATGGGTCGGAGAGGGGAGCCTGAGAAGGATGAAGTGTGGTGGGGGGAGCCTGCGTGCGCCCTGTGCGCGGGCACTCGAGCCCCTTGAGCCAACCATCCAGTTGACAAAAATGAGTTTAAGAGTCCCCACGAGCCTTGCGCAATACGTGCGGGGCAGGAGTATGCGGACAACTCACCCAGCGTTCCACCATGCGGGGGATTTGAGCACACTGAAAAATGTGACGCGGCGCATACAACAATAATCACCAAATTGCACTTCGCACCCGGGTCGAGAGAGACCACCAGAAGGCTCTTTCTGGAAAGAGGGGCCACCACAGGCCCTCGCACCTAAACGAGGGACCATCACAGACGCTGGCACCCAAATTATTCAAGCTGGGAGCCTCCTGGACTTCATTGCTTTGTTGGTTAATTGCGTGCGTAGCATGCCCTTTCCTTGTCCCTCATTTGTTTGGAAGACACCCCCAAAAAAACACATAAACTTTTGGAGGTCCTCGCGGATTTGCTGGGCCAGCAGTGGACCCCCTCCCCACACCCTGGCGCGTGGAGCGTGGGAGGCGTGCCCATCACCGACTCAGGGAATCCGCGCGCCTCCGGAGATTCAGGATGATGCAGCGCTTTGGCTCTCGGTCCTCCCTCCTCCCTCCCCCTCCTCGCCCCACCTCCCCCCCTCGCCCCACCCCCGACCCCCGGCCCCCCCCTCCAAGACCGGAACCTGGACCTCTCCACGGGTGCGCTCCGGCCAGAATTCCGAGGCGGGTCTGGCCGTTGACGCGAGAGCGGCCCAGGAGGCCCAAGGGCACACGAGCTACCAACGAGCTCGATGCTCGGTCCTCGACCTCCCAAGCCCTGCCTCCTGCAGACGTCTCCGAGACATCCCACTCGACTCCCTCCTCGCCCGATCCGTCATTAGCCGTCCCTCGGCTCAGGCTGCCGAGGGCTGACGTTCATCACCTGTCCGCCCGCCGCTCGCTCAGCTGCGAGGGCGGTGCACAGGTCGTGCGACTGCGCCCATGGAAACCAGAAAGAGAGAGAGAGAGAGAGAGAGAAAGAGAGAGAGACAGACAGACAGACAGACGGACGGACGGACGGACGGACGGACACACAGTCAGTCAGACAGACAGACAGACAGACAGACAGACAGACACACAGACAGACAGGCAGGCAGACAGACAGACAGACAGACGGACAGAGAGAGACCCGGGACCCTCCCCAACGGCGCCGCCTTGGCTGGCCCGCGGCGGCGGCATCGCCTCCGGAAGCTCGTCCTGCGGCGGCGGCGGCGGCGCACCCGCGAGGACGCCGCACGTGCCGCTGGGGGCCCGGGCCTCTGCGGGCGCTGTGGCTGCGCGCGCCCTGAGCCGGAGCAGCCGCGGAGGGAGCGGGGAGCCGAGAGGGAGGAGCAGCAGCAGGTGAGCGTTTTCTTTTTCGGCGCTTCGGCAGTGGGCGGCAAGGGGGCGGGCGAGGGGGGGCGGGTCTGGCTCCAGACCTGCGCTCAGTGCGACTGTTTTCAGGAGTGCGGCCTCTGGGGGAGACGCCATCCGCTCGAAACAGGCGCCAAAAAACAGCCAAGATCTGGGCTATGGGGGGGGGGGGGGAGGGGGGCTTGGGGGCCCGCGCCGATCGGCAAAACAATGAAAAAAAACGATCGCCAGCAGCAGCAGCAGCAGCAGCAGCAGCAGCAGCAGCAGCAGCAGCAGCAGCAGCAGCAGCAGCAGCAGCAGCCGAGGGGGTCGGACGAGGCAGCGAAGCAGGAGGGCGATCCTTCCGCGGCAAGGGCCTCCAAGATCTGCCCGAGATCTGCACCCACGCCCGCTGCGGCCTGCCCTCCGCCCTCCTCTTCCCCGCCCGCGGCTGCCGCCCGAGACCCGTATTCGGCGCACGAGCCTGCTCGGCGGCCGAACTGGCTCAGACGCCGAACGGGGCCTGGGCATCGCTCGGACGTCCATTCCCTGTGTTTTTTTCGGTTTCGTGCGTGGGTTTGTCGCCAAATCATCAAGGATGCTCCTCGATGGTCCTCGCCGAAGGATGCACACGTCCGAGCGATGCCAAGGGGCAGCATGAGGATGAGCCCTGGCAACGGGGGGGGCGGCAGGGCGACGGCTGCGGCGCGCAGGCGGACCGGCGGCGAAGGCTGCAGCAGCGGCGCCTGCTGCGGGGCTGCCTGCTGCGTCGCGCTGGGGCCTGCGGCGTGGGCGCCAGGAGCCGCGCGGGGGGGGGACGGGCCGACTTCAGCCCGCGCGGTGCGGCCGTGGCCGAGATGGGCGTCACATGGTGTCTACTTTTTGGCAGAAACTCAGGACTGGTAATAGGTGGCATGCATGTGGGATCCTCTGCCTCGCTTTGACATGCGATGAGGCCTTTTCTCAACTAGCGACGGCGACACCTGGAACTCAGTGTGCTTCCCGCGTATCACCTCGAGGGATCTGTGACTACCGCGCCGTTCCAATACGTAGTGACTGAGCTTACCGTAATTCAACGTTTGGAAACCCGTATATTTGTAAGTTTGCGTTCCTGGGCCGCCGTCTGTGCAAAATTTGCAAAATTTACGTTCATGGTGATCACGACGACTGGTTGCTCGTTCGCCGTCTGTGCAAAAATATTGAGGGCGAGCGGTTTTCAACATGCTGCTCTCGCCACAGACACGCGAACATACGGCCACATGTTTCCCACTGGTTCACGAATGGAGGGCGGGTAGTTTTCGAAATGTAGCTATCGCCAGAGCGATGCGCACATTCGTTGACAAAGCTCCAGACATATTCACGGATAGAGCGCAGGTGGTTTTCACAATGTGACTCTCGTCTTGGCCCCGCGCGCATTCGTCTTCACAGTTTCCAGCGCATGCACGGACGGAAGGCGATGGCGACGTGTTTTCAAAATGCGGGCCCCGCCGTGCACCGTGCTGAACGCACGGATGGAGGACCAGAAGCTTTTTGAAATGTAGCTCTCGCACAAGCGCCTTGCATACTCCGAGTTTCTTAATAAGCGTCGGGGGGGCGTCACCCCCGCCGACAGCCCCACATCGACCCCCGTCGCGGGCAGCCGCCGCGCGCCAAAGGCGCTCCGACCCCCGTCGCGGCGCGACGACGAGGCGAGGGTGACCCCCGTCGGAGGGGTACCCCACACGCTGACGAAGAAGCCCAGAGCATCAATCCCTTTGCAACCCCACGGAAAGCTTCACGCATGGAGCGCGGGTGGCCTTCCCGTGGCCGTCGCTCGAGCGCCGCGCACAGTCGTCTTTGAGCCCTGCTCGGCGGACACACGCGGACGCAGGGCGGGTGACTTGCCAATGGTCCGCGCAGCTCCTGCAAATGGTGGAAGTGAAAGTACGCGGTGCTGACTCCTCCTCCTCTTCCTCCTCCCTCCTCCTCCTCCTCCGCCCTCCTCCTCCTCCTCCTCCGCCCTCCTCCTCCTCCTCCTCCTCCTCCTCCTCCTCCTCCTCTGCTCCTCCTCTCTCCTCCTCCTCCTCTCTCCTCCTCCTCCTCCTCCTCCTCCTCCTCCTCCTCCTCCTCCTCCTCCTCCTCCTCCTCCTCCTCCTCCTCCTCCTCCTCCCTCAGAGCCGTGGCTCCCGCCCCGCACCGCGGACGTTCGGCTCCACAGCTCCCGGCGGCCGCGCGGACGGAGGGCGGGCGACTTGCCCACCTGCGCCCCTCGCCCCTCCGGCGCGCACGCCCGCCTCGGGCGCTGCGGACTTCCGCCAGGCTTTCGCTTGCGAAGCTGCCCTCGATTCACTTCCGCCAGCCTCAGCCGAATCGGATAGAGGTCAACCCTTCGATTCCTCGGCGACGCGACCTTCTTGGGGCAGCATGAGAATTGCTGCCTGCTTCGGATTTCGAACCGGCGGTGACGACGAGGACCCCCCCCCGTAGGCCCACAGGGAAGCCCAAGCGCCCAAACTCCTCTCCCGCGCCCCCCCCTCTTCCCATTCCCCCTCGTCCCTGCCGGCCGAGCCGGGCGGCTCGAAGGCGCCGGCACGGGGCGCTCAGAAGGGAGAACACAGCGCCGCAGAGACCCCACGGCTGGAGCTCCTGACCCCATCAGTGTGCGGGACGGTTCGGCCTGGACCGTGTGAAGGTCTCCTGAGCAGGGACCGACCGTCACTGGCAATTCTATAGGCCTACCACGCAGTGTTCTGAGAATCCAAGCATGTTCTAAGGACAAAAGCGATGCACTTGGAACATAAGCCCGATGTGCTAATACACGACAGGCTCAGCCAGAAAGGTTCTCCAATCAATATTTTGTGCCTGTAGGCGAGCCAGGACGCTTCGACATTGCTCGAGTCTCCAAGCCCCACCAGAAGGAGCCCGTAGAAACCTTTTTCCGGCCCCCGGCATGTCGGAGAGGCCTTCGCCGCTCGAGCCCGATCGCTCGAGCCCGGCCGCCCAAGGGCCCGCGTCCCACCTCCTCCTCCTCCTTCTCCTCCTCCTCCTCCTCCTCCTCCTCCTCCTCCTCCTCCTCCTCCTCCGCCTCCTCCGCCTCCTCCTCCTCCTCCTGCTCCGACCTCCTCCTCCTCCTCCTCCTCCTCCTCCTCCTCCTCCTTCTCCTCCTCCTCTCCTCCTCCTCCTCCTCCTCCTCCTCCCTCCTCCTCCTCCTCCTCCTCCTCCTCCTCCTCCTCCCCTCCTCCTCCTCCTCCTCCTCCTCCTCCTCCTCCTCCTCCTCCTCCTCCTCCTCCTCCCCCTCGTCTTCTTTTTTCTTCCTCCTCCTCCTCCTCCTCCTCCTCCTCCTCCTCCTCATCCTCCTCCTCCTCCTCCGACATCCGACGCCGCGACTTGTTCGGGCCGCTGGCCCCCAAAGTTCTCGACCCCCTCCCCCCCGGAACCGTTCACCCAAGGTCAGCGCCCCTCTAACGTTCAGTCGGGCCTGTCCCTCGACAAGAGGAATACTGAAACGTACAAGACAAAACCCAACCATCCTGCGGTGTTGAGTCCTCGTTTTGAAGAGACGGTCCCCGCGTTCCCTCCTTCCTTCCTCCCTCCCCCCCTCCCACCTCCTCCCCCCCTCCCTCCCTCCTCTTCCCTCCCTCCTGCTTCGTGGCCGCATAAAACAGTTCCACCGAAGCCCTCACTGGGACCGTCCGCGTGCGTCACAGAACACCCAACTTGGCATTTTCACCTGCCCAGTAAAGCGTTTCGTGGCCCCATAAGGAGCTCCACCGAAGCCCCAGTGCCACCGTCCGCATGCGTCTAGGAACACCCAACATGGCATTTTCACCCACCCGGTACAGCGTTTCGTGGCCCCATAGAGAGATCCGCCGAAGCCCCCAGTGGGACCGCCCGCGTGCGTCCAGGAACACCTAAATTTCCATATTCACCCACCCAGTACAGCGCTTCGTGGCCCCATAAGGAGCTCCACCGAAGCCCCCACTGGGACCGCCCGCGTGCGCCCCGGAAGCCCAATGTGGCATTTTCACCTGCCCAATGCAGCGCTTCGTGGCCCTATAGGGAGCTCCACCGAAGCCCCCAGTTGGACCGCCCGCATGCGTCCCAGAAACCAAATTTGGCATTTTCGCCCACCCAGTACAGGTGGCCCCCCATAAGGCTCTACCGAAACCCCAGTGGGACCGCCCGCATGCGTCCGGGGAGCCCAATTTTGCATTTACGCACGCAGTACAGCGTTTCGTGGCCCCGTAAGGAGAGCTCCACCGAAGCCCCAGTGGGACTGTCCGCGTGCGTCCCAGACGCCCAATTTGGCGCTTTCGTGGCCCCCCCATAAGGCTCCACCGAAGCCCCTCAGTGTGGCCGCCCGCATGGGTCCCGGAAACCTAATTTGGGATTTGCACACACCCAGTACAACGCTTCGTGGCCCCATAGGGAGTTCCACCGAACCCCCCAGGTTGGACCGCCCGCATGCGCGCCGCCCCACCCACCCAACTTGGCATTTTCACTCGCCCAATACAGCGTTTCGTGGCCCCATATGGAGCTCCAGCGAAGCGCCCGCATGCGTCCGGGAAACCCAATTTGGCATTTGCACATGCCCAGTAAAACGCATCGTGGCCCCAAATGGGGGCTCCACCGAAGCCCCCAGTGCAACCGTCCGCACGCGTCTCGGAACACCCAACTTGGCATTTACACCACCCACTGCAAATTTTCGTGGCCCCATAGGGAGCTCCACCGAAGCCCCCAGTGCCACCGTCCGCATGCGTGCCAGACGCTCACTTTGGCATTTTCACCCACCCACTACAGCGCTCCGTGGCCCCATAGGGAGCTCCACCGCGTGGGACCGCCCGCATGCGTCCCAGACGCCGAATTTGGCATTTTCACCCACTCACCACAGCGCTTCGTGGCCCCACAAGGAGCTCCACCGAAACCCTCACTGGGACCGTCCGCGTCCCAGAATACCCAACTTGGCATTTCCACCTGCCCAGCAAAGCGCTTCGTGGCCCCCTGGGGAACTCC